AGGGCGGCCCGAAAGAGATGATGGACCAAGGTGGCCCCACCTCCTCCGGGGATACCCATAATGGCCTCCTGAATACTCCCTTGCCATGTCCGAAACGCCAGATCCACGGTTAAGATCCACCCGCTCGATTGCGTGAGAACCCACCTGCTCAGGGTCCGTCCGGCCCGACACGTCCGCTAGGGCCTGCTACCTCATTGGTTTGGAAGCCGCCTCGCCAAATTTAATGTCCCGACCTCCTTGCCCGCCTATTGAAATCCGCCCGCCCGACGCTCGGTCCGCTGGCCTGGCACCCCCATTAAGGTTCGCCCGCCGTTTGCCTGTTCGCCCAGAGTCGGCCCGCTCACCGGTGAAGAGCAGCCGGCTCGTTTGCTGAGAATCATTTGCTTGTAGATGTCCCGCCCGCCCGACCCGCCCGTGTGGCCCGTCCGACCAGCCCGACCGTGAGCGCCAACCTTTCCGCCCAACCCTCGCCGCGACCGCCCGCCAGTTAAGGTTCGCCAGGCTCGCCCTTCCTTTGCGGTCCGATTGGCCGTGTCGCTCGTTGGAGTTTGCCCGCTCCCCCACCCGCCCACTCTCATGTCCCGCCCGCCAGACCCGCCCGATCGCCCTCGACAGCCCGCCCGCACTGGACTGGCAAGGTGCGCCCGAACATCGCCTGTCCACTCCCGCGCCCTGCCCGCCTAGCCCGTCCGTGAACGCGGCACGATACGTGTGAGGGGCGCGCCGAAACCAGCGCGTCGACGCTGTGCGAACATCCCCACTGTGCGGGCGTGTGCCGAAACTGGCGCGGCGGCGCAGTGCAAAAGCTCTCGCTGGGCCAGGTTGCGGCACGAAATGCGCGGAGGGGGCTGTGAGCATCGTTGAACCGATCCACGTCCCCACTGGCGTGGCCTGGGCCCCCCTCTTCTGATGGTTCCCCCCTGAATGGGGAGGTCGGCTGTTGCCTTCGGGTTTCAAAGGCTGGATCCACAACTGGGGTGGTGGGGTGGTGGGGCTGAGTCACCATGGCCCAGTGGGGATGGGGATACGTTGAGCCAAATGGAGGGTGGGCCGAAGCGCGTCGGTCGCCTCCGGCGCCTCCCTGGCGCCACATAAGACGAAACCGGGATCGGGGCAAACTCGGACCAGAACACATCGGGGATCTCTAAACCCGACAGCTCTGGAACCTGTATCGGACGTCGCGGCCGTTCCACGGCGCCCCGAAACGATCCATCTTGGTCCTGGCCTCGCCCGATCCTCCCAGGGGCCCCAAACACCCCAGACCCAGGCTACTCTGGCGCCCCCCCAGGGGTCAGCCTACACGAGCGGAGGGGCAAAAGGGGCTGCGCTTGCTTCAGAACCTGATGGGAGAGGATCGAGAGATCAAATCACACCGGTCAAAAATACGCTTCTCGACGCACCAAAGTGCACCCCCTGCCCACCAGTCAGGGGACCACCCGGGGAGGGGGGGGGGGCGAACACGGTGCGAGGGAAGAGTGCTTCTCCTGCTGGAGGGCCTGGTACTGCGCAGGTGTGGGCGCTGCAAAGCAGGTGAACGAACATGACGAGGAGAAGGACGGAGCTGCAAAGCGCAAGAATGGCGTGCCGCAGTGGGGAGCGCTTCGTGCGGTCACCGCCAGTGGGGCCTTCGGCTGGGCTCCCCGCGGGGCCACAAAACGTGTGTGGGGTGCCGAAATTGGCCAGGCGGCGTTCGCATCGCCACTGGGGCGTTGGGGGGAGCTCCTTCTGGGGCCATGGAGCGCGTGAGGTGTGTGTGTGTGTGTGTGTGTGTGCGTGTGTGTGTGTGTGTGTGTCTGTGTGTGTGTGTATGTGTGTATGTGTGTGCGTGCGTGCCGAAATTGGCTGCGCAGCGGCCAATGCAGCTCCTTATGAGGCCGCGAACCGTGTGATGCATCTGTGCGCCAAGAGGGGGGCGCGGCGTCACGTACGCAAACCCTGCCAGTGGGATTTTCGCTTGTGCTTCCCATGGGCCTGCGAAGCGTGCGAGGGGTGTGCCGAAGAACTTGGCGACGGGGTGTGCCTGAACCGGCGGGGCGGCGTGCAGATTTTGCCGGTGGGGTCTTCTGTGGAGCTGGGCTTCCTGGTGGCGCCACGAAGCGCGTGAGGGGCGCGCGCAGATGGGCACGGCGGCGTGCGAACTTTGCCACTGGACCTTCGATGGGGCCCCCGTCGGGGCCACGGGACGCCTGACAGGTAAGCGCACATGGGCGGGGCAGCGTGCGATCTCTGCCAGAGTGGCCTTCGGCTGGGCTCCACATGGGGCCGCGAAGTGGGTGGGCCGGCGTGCGAACTTTGCCACTGTGCCATTCGATGGAACTACTTGTGGGGGAACGAAGCGTGCGCGACATGAACGGGGCGGCGTGCGGACTGAGCCACTGGGGCCTTGGGTGGAATTCCCAATGGGGCCACGACGCGCGCGAGCGAAACTGGCGGTGCGGCGCACTTTGCTCTCGGAGCCTGCGGTTGGAATCGCTCTGGGGCCACCAAGCGTGAAAGGCATGCGCCGATAAGCACGGGGCGGCGTGTGAACTTTGCCAACGGAGCCTTCGGTGGAACTGCCTATGGAAGGACGAGGCGTGTGAGGAGTGTGCCTGATTTGGGCGGGGCGGCGTGCGAACTTTGTCGCTGGGGCCCTCGGCCGGGCTCCCGATGGGGCAGTGGAGCGTGCGGGGCGCTTGCCGAAACCAGCGGGGTGGCGCGCGAAATTTGCCACTGGGGCCTTCGGACGAACTGTTCATTGGGCCGCGAATCGCGCGGGGGATTTGCCGAAAGGGGTCGGGGCGGCGCGGGGCCGCGCAACAAAATAGATAAAAGCACTGCTTGCCATGTTCAAAGTGGCGGACGGAACATAGTCCCCCAAAAAACACCCTAAAAACAACAACGGTTGAGAAACGGGACAAGGACGAAAACAACAATGTGAAAGCAAGGCCATGCGCACCGAAATGTATTTTTCAACCCAAAACCCGTGGCACGTGAAGCTGACACAAAGGCGAGAACACAGCCATGTACACCTTCTTGTTTCGTCCGGACCAGAAATGTAGCCAGCATTGAAGCGAGACTGCGCTGCCTACGTATATGGGGAAAGATATACAGCGAAACTTCAACCGCACTGGGCGTCCTGAAGTTCCCCGCCTCCCCTGTGAGGGCCTTCTCTCCTTCTCACGACTGCAGCCCTCCTGCGAAAGGCTATCATGCGATAGGCATGGCTCCCGTCTTCTCGGGCCTCTTTGCACGCCTGCCCGTCCTCGTCCTCACGGCCCCGCTCCTGCGTCGTCCCCCGCCCCGTGCTCCTCGCCCCTCCCCCGCGCCCCCTCGCGAGCTGGGGGCGAGAGGCACCGAGAGGGGCCGCCTCCTTCCCCTCGCTCCCCCGCCTCCGCCAGGGCCGGACCCAGACGCTGTTTCTCGTGTTGTCGTCGTTTCGTTGTTCGTTCGTTTTGCCCTACCTGTGCTCCTGCACCTCCCTGCCAGGAACGGAAGAAACAAAGCACAGCCGAAGTCCCGTAAAACAGCGTTTAGGTCCAGCCCTGTCCTCCACCTGTATCTGGCAGGCACGCACGAGCATGTATTCCAGATCCGTGGATTTGGCACGAGGGCGCCAGGTGATTGCAACGACGCCTGACTTTTGGCGACGGCGGGGGGTGGTCTTCGTTACGGAGGCGGGGCCCGTCGCTTATCCACGCGACTTGCTCCATGTGTTTGTCTCCTCGAGCCTACCTTCCCCCCACCGCCTTCGATGACGATGACGCTGACAATGACGATGACGTCATCGTCATCGTCATCCCCTGATGCGCGGTCCCCTCTCTCGCCCCCTTCCTCGAGCGGCCTCTTCGCCCCCTCCCGACTCTATCCCGAGTAAGTTTTTGACCGCCCTGGGGCCTGGAGAGGGCCCTTGGAGGCCGAAGACTGCTAGAAACCTTGTACGTTTTTTGTGTCAGCGAGGAAAGCCGCAACGAGAAGAAGTACTCGCAATCCGCCTGGTCAGCCTAGGTTTCGGGGCGGCTTCGTCTGAGACATCCTCGCAATGTGCCTGGGTTGGCTTGGCTTCGGCGCGGCTTCGCCTGCACATCGCCGCTCGAGGTCTCTGTGCCTGCAAGCGAGGTGGCGGCTGAACAGTCCATAGATCGCCCCGTCACGCAAACGACTCTACGCTGCGCACTCCAGGGCCACCACAACCCTGAGGCCTGCTGTTGCGTAACAATCGCAACACCGCGACAATTCACGACCAAAGCCCTAGACCCTAGCTCCTTGCGGCATTTTTCGAGCCGGATCGATCTGCGGGGGCCCCGGGGCCTGAAACCGGGCTTCGAGCAGGGGATCGACTATACAATAAAACTTGATGTTGATTCTACGAGAAATGCGTCGAATACTCCGTAGATCCGCGGAGCATTCTACGCAATTGGAATAGATTCGACGGAAACATCAAGTCTGGGGTAAGTCAATTCTGTAGTCGATCCCCTACTCGAGGGCTAAACCGCTCAGTGTGAACAAAAATGCAGCGCCCGGATCTCAGGCAAGGCGCGCCCGCGTCCAGGGGGGAGGGGCGGAGAGGAGGCGCCGAGCGGGGCCGCCCGCGGCGAAACGCGGCGGGCGGCCGGGCCGGCCGCAGCCCCGAGGGGGCCAGGCGGAGCGCCCTCGGGCTTGGGGAAACCAAGAGGTACCGATAGCGCTGCTCTCTGGACCTCGCCCGGCGTGCGTTCTCAGCAGGGTTTCGGAGCGAATCCAGCGGTGCCGACGAGGGCCTCCCAGGAGGCCCCCAAACAGCGAAAGCGAGGTGAGGGCAGCGGTCTCGGTTTCTCTTCCTCCTTTGAGCAGGGACCGACCGTCCAGGCATTCATATAGGCCTACCACGACGTGTTCTTAGAACCCAGAGATGTTCTCATAGCCAAAACCATGCTCTCAGAACAGAACCCCCATGCGTCAAAACAAGACCGACTCTGCCAGAAACGTGCTGAGAACATTTCGTGCAGACCACAGCAAGCTCCTGGAATACTCCTGGGTGGGCCTACAGACACGCCGGGACGCTTCGCCACTGCTCGACTCCTCCGAGGGCTCGCCGCGCCCTCGGGCGGCGTCGCGGGAGGCCGCCGAGGGTCGTGGCCCCTCGGCGGTGCCCCCCTCGCGGCAGGCCTCGCTGCCGCGCCGACGCGGCGCGCGAGCCCACCGCGCGTCGGTGGGAGGACGCCGGCTGCACGCGCTGCGCCGGCTCTGCCCAGGGCCCGGGGCCAGCGTGCAGGCCCTCCCGGCTTGGGCTCGGAGGGAGGCGAGGGCACCGGCCGACCTTGGCGGCGCGCACGGGAGGGGGTAAGTAAAGGGGGAGGGGGGGAGGCTTCTTAGAAGGAGGCTGCATCTCAGAAGGCGCTGGTCCTACGTCCATAGGCGGAGGCCTGCGCCTTCTAAGAAGCAGGGCTGCTTCTGAGAAGCCCTCCCCCTCCCCCTACCCCCCTGCTGCGCGTGGCCGACGACCCCGGGCTCCAGGATGAGAGGGACAACAAAAACGGCACAAGCCAGAGCTGCGCCAGCGGCAAGGCTTTGGCTGACGGCGATGTTGGGAATCTGGTCTGTTGCGACGCCGAGCTCGCGCAGAACAAACTGCAGGAGAACGCGATGACAAGCCTTCCCTACAACAGGGGCTGGCCACGAGCCACCGCCACCTGCAGCACCGAGACCTACATCGCCGTTGCCTACATCGCCGTTACCGTGTCTACGCAGAAACGCAAACTTTCCGAGCACCGCGCGGACTTCTCGGACTGGCGCCTCTGGCGCCGCCCGGGGGCTCAGCGCCGATCGAAGAACTCTGCGCGGAGCTCTACAAGTTTGATGCTTATGCAACCTTTTTTTGTGTTTCGAGGCTTGGCGTAAGTCGGGCATGTCCCCCTGTAAGCGGATTTGGGGTGAACTCGAAATACGCAAAACACATAACAAAAAAGGTAAAACAAAACACACAAGGAAAATGGATCCCGTTATATTTTTGTTAGAGTACTTTGGGATCTTCCCCCTGCAGAGGGACAGGCCCGACTTGAGGCTTGGCCTCGGAGTGCGGCGCAGGCACCCGCCGACCCCTGGAGCGAGGAGGGGGAGGGGAGCAGCGAGGAGGGGGAGGGGAGCAGCGAGGAGGGGGAGGGGAGCCCAGGACGGGCCCAGACCCGTCCTGGGCCCAGGAAGGGCCCGGCCCGGGCCGGCCCGCGCAGGCCCCCTGCCGTGGGTTCGTTTGTCGTCGTTGTGCTCCCACCGCGCGGGATCCCAAAGGTCTCGACCGTCTTGCCGGGGGCTGTGGGGGGCAATCGGCGGTGGACAAACCTCCCTTTAGTAGACCTCCCCTTAGTGAAAACGGCCTGGGACTGAAACCGACGGACCTGGACCTGTAAAAATGACGGCCGCGACGCCCTCTCGCGAACCGAAAACTGCCAATTCCTCCATCGACGTGTCAGGGTAGGAGGTCTGTCCACCCCCGAAACGATAGGGGGAGGGCAGGCGTAGGGGGGGGTGAGCATCGACATGGAATCGGCGATGCATCGCCGATAGATCGGCGATGGGCCTCCGATAGAGGATCCGCAACCTCCTGGGCAGTTTGGGGCTATCGGGCCCCTATCGGCGATTAATTGGCGATGGAGGGTCGATGCCGCCCCCCTTATGCCTATCCCCCCTATCATTGCCCCTGAATCTTGCCAAGGGCTGGCTTTCCATCCTGAAGTTTGGACGCCCCAAATGGGTACGGAAAAATGGGCACAGTGCCGAACAACAAATGTTGTCCCAAACCAGCAGCGGCCGCTGGCGGGCAGGCGGCCTCCTGACTCAAATGGACACAGGCCGCGGCGACACCAGCAGCGAGTCCTGTCCAAAATGGACAAGAACTGCTGTCGGTCTTTGAGTACCCATTCTTTCCGTACCGCAGGTTGGTGTCGTGTCGACTCCGGCCTTGGTTCCTGACGCCGCGGGGATCGTTCAACCTTGAACGACCGGCCCGTGCCGCGAGGTCCCATCGTTCAACTTCGACCGATTCTGGGTCGCTGGCGGCGTTCAACGTGGAACGCTGGCGGCGGGGTCGCCGCCGGTCGACGCGGCGCGAACCTACCGTACCCGTTGCGATCGTCCCAGTCCCGGTGGACAGCTTCCTGACGGCCCTGGGGCCCGGCGAGGGCCCGCAGGGGCCGAGAAGGGCAGAAGCGCCTCCCTCAGACTTTTCGTGTCCCCGACGCGAGGGTCGGCCCGTGCGCATGGCCTCCTCGCCTCTCTTGACGGACCAGTTTTCCACCACCACCACCACATGTCGGACGGGGGACAAAGGAGGCTAGGCTGGGGAGATCAGCCTCCTCCTCCTCTTCGTTCTCCTCCTCCTCCTCCTCCTCCTCCTCCTCCTCCTCCTCCCTCTCCTCCCTCTCCTACCTGTGGTGGTGGTGGTGGGCAATCGGCCCATCATCTCTCCTCTGGGGACGGGCCTGGCCAAGGTCGGCCCGTGCGCACGGCTCCCGCCGCCAGCGCGCGCCGCGCCGCAGCTCAGAGGTCCACCAGCGGATCGCCGGGCTCGCCGCTGCCGCTCACGGCCCGGCTTATGGGGTCGGCCAGGCCTCGGGCGCGGCCCACGCAACGGTGGCGCAGACGGCGCCGAAGGCGGAGGCGGCGCAGACTGCGACGGCAGCGGCGGCGACGAGTTCGAGGATCGAGGTGATTGGATGCCTCTGAAGCACTTTTCTTGGACCTCCAGGCGCCTCACGAAGCCGCTGGGGCCTCCGGTGACCTGAAGACGACCTCCCCAATCCCCCTCAACCTCTGCTCCTCTCTCTCTCTCGCTGTATTCTCCATCCCGCCCTCCTTCACTCCCACGACGACGACAACCTTGGGCTCGACGACGACGACGGCAATGATGACCCAAGACCTGTCCTGGAGTGCGTTTTGGACAGCATATTTCGAACAAATTCATCCACGGCCACGGGAAGCTTCCCTGAGGCCCAAGACTCAATCAAATTATCCCCAAACGTGTACATCCTCTAACCTCAAATCGACGACGACGACGACGTGGTATTTGTCGACCAAGGCCTGCGGCCTTACGGCGTGTCGTCGGGGGGACGGCACCATCGATCGGCATTCCTCACCTCCAAGGTTGCAATGTGATTAAACAAAACCTGTGACCAATGGGCGTCCTGCCCACAGCTGTCAAATCGATCACCGCCCAAGGCCCGTACAAGCAGAACCTGAAGTAGTGAACATACCAGCGCAGAGCGACGACGACGGGGAGGATCGGACGACGAGACCTAAACATCGGGCTTTTTGGGTCTCAGGAAAGCTTCTCGCGGCCACGGCTAGTTTCCCTTCGGAGCTCTGGTCAGGATGCACCCCATGGAAACTGGGTTGACGGGGAGGGCGGGGGGGAGGAGATGAGGGGGGATGAGAAGGGCAGGATAATTGGGTTGAGGGGGAGGGGAGGAAGGGGAGAGAGAGGGCTGGGAAGGGCTTGATGCAGGGGGAGGGGGAGGTGGGCATACGGGGAGGTGGACAGAGTGGGGAAGGAGGGCAAGCTAGGCGCGCTCGCGCCATATCTGACATCCTACCCATCCTTCCTATCCCTTCCTCTTGCGCGCGCTGACGTTTTTATCTCCAAAAACGACCCCTTATGGAGGGTTAGCACGAGGATGAGCAGAAGGAAGGAGGAGGACGACGACAAACAGCAGCAGCGGGAAATGGGGTGGAAGGAGGTGGGAGCAGCAGGAGGGCCAAGGGAAGGCGGAAATGGGGGGGCGACAAAGATTGACAAACAAATCGGATTCAGAGAAGTGGCCCGCGCTGGGGCGGGAGCGCAACGCCGATCCGAAAATCTGCAGCAAGAGCACCGCTTTGAAACACCAGACGAACGCGGGTTGTAGACACTCAGGTCGGACAAGAACAACTCGGCCCAATCCTGTGTAAAAAACAAAAAACGCGAAGAGGGGCCAAGGATCTTCCGGACAGGGTCAGGGGAGAGGGGGGAGGAGTATTCGTATCGTGCAGCTGTGCAGGGGCAGGTGAAGTGGGGGACGGGGGAAAAGGGATGGCAAGGGGGAGGGAGATGAGGAGAATCAGGAGGGGCTTGGGGGGATGAGGCCTGCCGCTGCGCGGGTGGATCTCCGACCGAGCAACGGAGGAGGAGGAGGAGGAGGAGGAGGAGGAGGAGGAGGAGGAGGAGGAAGAGGAGGGGGAGGAGGACCATACTGAACCCGCCATGTATCAGCTGTGCTGCAATGCACCACCCCGTTCGAAGCGCCTCCTCAAAAATCCCTGCAGGCATTCGATGTCACTGCGCCCCATGGGCCAACACATCGGGCGGGAACTCCGCTCAGGGTGGGCCTTCACATTCGAGCAGATACACGACGACGACCTCGCTTTGAAGGGGGACCGCTCTCTGTCCGAATAAATGCGGGACTCTTGATACTCTGTTTGTACCATCTAACGGAATATCGAACGATGTGCCCGTTTGGAAGAAGACCCTCCCTCCATCCGTGTAACTATTGCACAACTCCACGTGTGGTGATATTTGTTTGTGGACATCTTACGGTACATACGCATTTCGAAACCATACTGGCCTCCATCCCTTAAATTATTCGACACATGTGAGTCGAATGGGCGCGGCGCGAAACAACACGTTGAACAAGTACAGCCGTCCGTGAAACTGTTGGATTTGCTGGAGACTAATGTGAAGGGTTTGGGCGAGGACCACACGTTGAAACAATACCACCCTCCATCGGTGTAGATGCTGAATATGTTGAGCTTCGGGGTAACATATTGCCAACACATCTGAACCGAAACTAGAAGCCCAGCCCCCAGCCTACCGACACGCCTGGTGGTGCGACAGGGAGGATTTACCTATGAAAGAAGGAGGGGTGGCGTGGGAGGAACAGGAGGGAAGAGGACGAGGAGTGAGAAAAAGGAGGACGTGGATGGATGGTCCAGAGAAGGTGGATGCGGACGAGGATGATGATCAAACTCCCTCCCCGCCCAACCCGCCAAGAGCCCCATGCTTTTCCTTCCTCGCCCCGTGCCTGGTGGACACTCAGACCCAATGGCAGTCGGACAGGCCGAGGCCAGGCCAGAGATAGCACCCAGGAGGGGGGGAGGATGCTTGATGTCGCACTTTTATGACTGAAGCATATTTTTGGTGACACCCTCACCAGAGCCCGTGGTAATTTTGAATTGAGATGCCCTTGACGCTCGCACCCCTGGGCGACCGGCCACACAACAGCAGGAACGGATACCGCCTAATACTTGCTCGCGAATCAGACAGGTAGACTTTCTCTGCCCTCCAAAATCGAGGGTTGATGACCGAGACTAGGAAACAACTTCAAGTCACCGAGGCCACGCCCCTCCGTAAAATACACTATGTTCGCGTCCCCGAGGCCACGATCCCTCGTAGATTACGGCGCGTTTGCGTTCTCGGAGCCATAACCCCTCGCGAGTTGCGCAATATTCGCGTAGACGATGCCATAATCCATGGCACATTCAAGAATATTTGCGTCGCCGAGGCCACGATCCCCTATCGGGTTACCAAGATCCGCGTCCTTGAAGCCACGGTCCTTTTGTAAATTACGCTGCGCTCACGTCCCTGAAACTACGATCCTGAAACAAATACGCGATGCTCAAATCCTGAAACCACGATCGTCAACAAATTCGCAGCGCGAACCGTCAGAGTTCGAGAAGTGTTTTTCAGGCTTACTGTGCAGGCCGTAACGACCCTCGCGTGAAGGCCCTGCATTGCTTCACAACGGCGCCCTAGCATCCCAACTTAGCTCTGGCATGCCCAATTCTAAGAGAGAGGGGGCCGGTGGCAATGGGCGAAGCCCTTGCGGATAAAAGGTTCCCCCACACGAGGTCTAGTTCCATGGTCTCGCTGACAGGGTCTCGCCAGTGGTGTCTCGCTGCGCTGCGGTGCAGTACCTCCCACTGCTTTGCATTGCCTTGTCGTGCGTTGTGCTGCTTTGCCTTGTCTAGGGTTGCTTTGCAGCGTCTTGAATTGCAACATCGGAATTGCACTACTAATGGGCTGGTAGCTCTTTGAGTTCGCGCTGGAATCACCCGTTGAAAGCATGCTGGCTCCCTTATGGGGTCTTTCGAAGCCCAAATCACTGATTTTGTTTTTATGCATTTGAAGGATTTGGGCGCTTTGTTCTTTTCGGCCTTCCGACGGCCCCAGAGGCCCCCAAGATCGCCCCAGAGGCCTGCAAGATGGCCCTATGACAGCCCAAGAGGCTCCTAAGACAGAGGGTCCCAAGAATGCCACATAGGCCCCTAAGACTGCCATCATACCCTCCAAGATGGCCCTGAAGCGCCTCCAGAATGCTCCCAGACGGCGTCCGACGGCCCAGGAACGCCCTAAGACAGCCAAAAAAGCTTCCAAGAAGCCCCTAAGAGGCTCAAATACCCCATCAAGAGGCCTCCTCTTACGACGGCCCACCCCAAGAGGGTCTCAAGACGGCCCCACAGGCCTCCAAGCGAACCCGAACATCATCGGGAACGCCCCGGATCGGCGGCACTGGCCAGAGGCCACTACAATCACCCGTTGAAAGTATGCTGGCTCCCTTCTGGAGTCTTCAGACTGTGGATGTCACGTAGCATTCCTGCGCGCACTGATCCAACAATGCTTGTAAGAGAATGTTGGCTACGGCCCTCTGCATCGCGCCCCTTCGGTAAGTGTCGCCCCCCCTGGCCACAAAACCCTGCGTAGAGCACTTCTGTTTTTGACAAGGGGCACCACCTGACACATGAGACCGCCACAGGACTTCCTGGGTGGCGTACGATGGGCCAGACTGGCACCCTGACGTTGCCCACCCTGCTGCAGCAGTGGGGCGTCTACAAGCGAGCACTGTGGTACGCACTTGTGCACCAGGAGGGCGACCGAACACATTCATTAACCGCTACCCAATAAGTGCATAAATCGTGGAACGCATATGAACTACGATGTGCCACGACCATGCGAGCACATGATCAAACATTGGGGCCCACGCGCATTGATTGCATTAGTCTATGGCTGGGGGCTGTAAGAACATCTGTGGCACGCAGCACGTTTAGCCCGATGCGGCCTCCTCGCCAGCGCAAGAAGAAGTCATGCTTAAAACGTTGCTGTACAGAAAAGGGTGTCACAACGAGCATGCACCGCGCGCAAATGTGGGAGCGCTATGCCAGCTCAGCGATCCAGCGAGAACGAGGGCGATGGGGCTGCACTGGAGCCCAGCGGCATGTCGCTAATGGTCGTAGTATTGCGCTCTGACGCGCTGCGTGTGTGTGTGTGTGTGTGTGTGTGTGTGTGTGTGTGTGTGTGAACTTTTGGCTTGCAACGGCGGGTTCGCCTTGATGCTGCATGTTCTAGCGGTCACATTTGCCTGGTGTCCGAACAAAGCTGTTGGGCTTCACGGTAACTCTATGGTTTGTCTCTGGGCCATCCGCTCGCATGCAACGTGCTTGCCCGCATTATTGTTTCGCAAAATGCCGAACTCGTTGAGTTCATCCGTGCTGGGGTTCAACACTGACTTCAATAGTCATTGGAAGCAAGTGCTGGCTGATGAGAAGGGTGCCTGGCCGATTCGCACCATTACGTTCGCCA